AGATGGCCCCTTTTCCCCAGCATGTTCAGAACCTTGGACAGCTCTTTTCTGCACCGCACGCCACCCAGCGGCAAGAGACGGCCCCTTTTCCCCAGCCCTTCCAGCATGTCGGACAGCTCCTTTCAGCCCTGCATGCCGCCCAGCGGCCTGAGACGGCCCCTTTTCCCCAGCACTTTCAGAACCTCGGACAGCTCATTGCAGAGCCGCACGCCGACCAGCGGCCTGAGATGGCCCCTTTTCCCCAGCATGTTCAGAACCTTGGACAGCTCTTTTCTGCCCCGCACGCCACCCAGCGGAAAGAGACGGCCCCTTTTCCCCAGCCCTTCCAGCATGTCGGACAGCTCCTTTCAGCCCTGCATGCCGCCCAGCGGCCTGAGACGGCCCCTTTTCCCCAGCCCTTCCAGCATGTCGGACAGCTCCTTTCAGCCCTGCATGCCGCCCAGCGGCCTGAGACGGCCCCTTTTCCCCAGCACTTTCAGAACCTCGGACAGCTCATTTCAGAGCCGCTCGGCGCCCAGCGGCCTGAGACGGCCCCTTTTCCCCAGCATTTTCAGCACCTCGGACAGCTCTTTTTCAGGCCCACTCACCGCCCAGTGGCCTGAGATGGCCCCTTTTCCCCAGCACTTTCAGCATGTCGGACAGCTCCTTTCAGACCTGCATGCCGCCCAGCGGCCTGAGACGACCCCTTTTCCCTGGCACTTTCAGAACCTCGGACAGCTCATGTCAGAGCCACTCGGCGCCCAGCGGCCTGAGACGCCCCCTTTTCCCCAGCACTTTCAGCACCTCAAACAGGTTCTTTCAGGACCGCTCGCCACCAAGCGGCCTGAGACGGCTCCTTTTCCCCAGCACTTTCAGCACCTCGGACAGCTCCTATCAGGCCCACTCACCGCCCAGCGGCCTGAGACGGCCCCTTTTCCCCAGCAATTTCAGCATGTCGGACAGCTCCTTTCAGACCTGCATGCCGCCCAGCGGCCTGAGACGGCCCCATTTCCCCTGCACTTTCAGAACCTTGGACAGCTCCTTTCAGGACCGCTTGCCGCCCAGCGGCCTGAGACGGCCCCTTTTCCCCAGCACTTTCAGCACCTCGGACAGCTCCTTTCAGGCCCGCTCACCGCCCAGCGGCCTGAGACGGCCCCTTTTCCCCGGCACGTTCAGCACTTCGGACAGCTCCTTTCAGCCCCGCTCGCCACCCAGCGGCCTGAGACGGCCCCTTGTCCCCAGCACTTTCAGCATGTCGGACACCTCCTTTCAGCCCCGCTCGCCGACCAGCGGCATGAGATGGCCCCTGTTCCCCAGCCCTTTCAGCACCTCGGACAGCTCCTTTCAGCCCCGCTCGCCGCCCAGCGGCCTGAGACGGCCCCTTTTCCCCAGCACTTTCAGCACCTCGGACCGCTTGTTTCTTTCAGCCCCGCTCGCCGACCAGTGTCCTGAGATGGCCCCTGTTCCCCAGCACTTTCAGCACCTCAGACAGCTCCTTTCTTTCAGCCCCGCACGCCCCCCAGAGGCCTGAGATGGCCCCTTTTCCCCAGCATTTTCAGAACCTCGGACAGCTCCTTTCAGCCCCGCACGCCGCCCAGCGGCCAGAGACGGCCCCTTTTCCCCAGCACTTTCAGCACCTCGGACAGCTCATTTCGGGCCTTCTGGCCGACCAGTGGCCTGAGACGGCCCCTGTTCCTCAGCACTTTCAGAACCTCAAACAGCTCCTTTCAGGACCGCTCGCCACCAAGCGGCCTGAGACGGCCCCTTTTCCCCAGCACTTTCAGAACATCGGACAGCTCTTTTCAGCCACGCTTGCCACCCAGCGGCCTGAGACGGACCCTTTTCCCCAGCTTTTTCAGCAGTTCGGACAGCTCTTTTCAGCCCCGCTCGCCACCCAGCAGCCTGAGATGGCCCCTTTTCCCCAGCACTTTCAGCACCTCGGACAGCTCCTTTCTTTCAGCCCCGCACGCCGCACAGCGGCCTGAGACGGCCCCTTTTCCCCAGCACTTTCAGCACCTTGAACAGCTCCTTTCTTTCAGCCCCGCACGCCGCACAGCGGCCTGAGACGGCCCCTTTTCCCCAGCACGTTCGGCACCTCAGACAGCTCCTTTCTGCCCCGCACGCCGCCCAGCGGCCAGAGACGGCCCCTTTTCCCCAGCACGTTCAGCACCTCGGACAGCTCCTTTCAGCCCCACACTCCGCCCAGCGGCCAGAGACGGCCCCTTTTCCCCAACATGTTCAGCACCTCCGACAGCTCCTTTCAGCCCCGCATGCTGCCCAGCGGCCTGAGACGGCCCCTTTTCCCCAGCACGTTCAGCACCTCGGACAGCTCCTTTCAGCCCCGCGCTCCGCTCAGCAGCCAGAGATGGCCCATTTTCCCCAACATGTTCAGCACCTCGGACAGCTCCTTTCAGCCCCGCACTCCGCCCAGCGTCCAGAGACCGCCCCTTTTCCCCAGCACGTTCAGCACCTCGGACAGCTCC